AAACATTGTTCTCTTGTTTCTTGCCTAACTCTTCCAAGAAACTTTGGAGCCAAACCATCTCCTTGTTGGCTTCCGTAACAACGACATATTTTGCTTCAGTTATGGAGAGAGCAACTATCTTCTGTAGTTGAGAAACCCAACTCATTGCAGTTCCTTCTAGAGTATAGACATACCCTGTAGTGCTTCTTCTGATGTCGATATTTCCGGCTAAGTCAGCATCTACATAGCCTGTCAGTATCGTATCTCCACCTTTGAAACAAAGTGCTTTGTTTGTACTACCCCACAGATATCTGAGGATCCATTTGACAGCTTCCCAATGTACCTTACCTGGATTATTCATGTACCTGCTAACAACTCCCACTGCATGAGCAATATCTGGTCTAGTACAAACCATGTCATACATTAGACTTCCAATTGTTGAGGCATACGACACCTTCATCATGTGTGCACATTCTTCCTCCGTCTTTGGTGACTGTTCTTTGAAGATTCTAAAATGAACACCTAAAGGTGTACTTACTAGTTGAACATTTTGCATGTTGAACCTGGAGAATACTTTGTTTATGTACTCAACCTGTGATAACATCCAAGTCCCCGACTTTGTGTCTCTCTTAATCCTCATCCCAAGAATCTACTTTGCAGCGCCCAGATCCTTCATAGCAAACTGCTTCGACAATTTTTGCTTCAAGTTTATAATCTCTTGCATGTCATCAACAAACAACAATAAAATAATGAAGCTATTGTCGAACCTCTTGATGTAGCAACAATGATCTGCTTGGCATCTGGTAAAACCATTGCTACCCATGAAGCTATCGAACTTCTTGTACCACTGTCTAGGAGCTTGTTTTAAACCATACAAGCTCTTCTTCAACCTGCATACCAGGTTTTTCTTGCCTGCCTCTATGAAGCCTTCTGGCTTCCTCGTATAGATTTCTTCCTCCAAATCACCATGAAGGAAAGTTGTCTTCACATCTAACTGCTCAAGATGTAAATTCTCTGCAGCTACAATTTTCAATACCAGTCTAATTGTAGATAGCTTCACGACTGGAGAGAAAATTTCATTGTAGTCAATACATTCTTTTTGCTGAAAGCCTTTGACAACCAATCTTGCTTTGTAGCGTTTGCTCCCATCGTGCTCTTCTTTGATCCAATAAATCCACTTGTTATGGAGTGCTTTCTTGCCTGGTGGTAATTCAACTAATTCCCACGTCTAATTTGACATAAGCGAGTCCATCTCATCTTTCATGAAAGACTCCCACTTGATTGAATCCTCCACATGCATTGCTTCATCATAGCACTCTGGTTCACCATTGTCAGTCAGCAACAAGTAGTGCAAAGAAGGCGAATAACGCTGGGTTGGTTTAGGAATTCTGGAGGAACGTCTCAGTTCTGGTGTGTCTGGTTCTTCTTGAACTGCTTCAGGACTGATTTGAACATCATTTCCAGAAATCTCCTCGAACTCAGCAAATTCATTTGTTTCAGCTTCGGTATTGGAGCTACTTGATTCTATGGTTGCCCTATCTTTGTACATTACATTCTCATTGAAAATAACATCTATGCTTCTGATGATATTCCGATTTTCATAGTCCCAAAATCGATAACCAAACTCATCACCACCATAACCAACAAAAACACATTTATTGGACTTGGCATCAAGTTTACTTCTTTCAGCAGAATATATGTGTACATAAGAAATACAACTAAACACTCTTAAGTGTGAAAGATTTATTTCTTTCTTGCTCCAAACTTCCTCTGGTATTCTGCCATCCAAAGGAACTGAGGGCCCATGGTTAATCAGGTAAGCTGCAATGTTGATAGCTTCAGCCCATAGAAATTTGGGTAATCCGGCATGTATCCTCATGCTTCTGGCACGTTCATTCAGAGTTCTGTTCATGTGCTCTGCTACGCCATTTTGCTGCGGTGTCATGAGAACTGTTGTCTCCTTCTTGATCCCATTGTTTGCACAAAAATCTCTGAATCTACGATTTCTGTACTCTTCTCCATTGTCAGACCTCAACTGCTTGAATTTCAGACCAGTCTCATTTTCCACCATGGCCTTCCATTTTCTAAAGGTATCAAAGACTTCTGATTTCTTCTTCAGAAAATAAACCCACACCTTCCTTGTAGAATCATCAATGAAGGTGACATAATATAATGAGCCTGCAAGAGATGAAAATGGAGATGGTCCCCATACATCAGTATGAACCAACTCTAACTTTTCAGCCTTGGGTGTTTTACCAATCTTTGCAAAGCTTACTTTCTTTTGTTTGCATAAGATGCAATCCTCGCATAGCCCGACATCTACATTCTTTAGATCCAACAGCTTCCCTTTTGACAAAAGTGTCTTCATCCCTTTCTCGCTCATATGACCAAGCCTTTGGTGCCATAGTTTGATTTTCCATCAGCATATGCTGCATCAATGATATTCTCTAAGTTTGAGGTTGCATAGAGAGTATCAGTCTTCTTACCACGAGCAATGATGAGTGCTCCTTTGGTAATCTTCCATTCACAGTCTGAAAAGGTTGTACTATATCCTTCTCCATCAAGCTGTCTAACAGAAATCAAATTTCTTTTGAGACCAGGAATATGTCTCACACCTTTCAGCGTCCAGGTGGTCTGGTTTGGTAACTTTAGTCGGATGTCTCATCTTCCGATGATTTTCAAGGTTTCATCATCAGCTAGATGAACCTTCCCAAAATCACCACTGACATAGTTCTCCATGATTTCTCGGCATGGGGTGAGATGCCCCTGAATCCAAGATCCATGATTCAATCGGACTGTTGACGTTTAGAATCATGACATCACTTGTTTCCTCTATGGCAGATTCCTGTGCGCCGGTATCTTTTTTCAATGCTCGACAATCTCTTTTAAAGTGACTCTTCTTGCCACAATTATAACAAGTAAATTCTTTCTTTCCTGTTCTTGATTTGCCCCTTCTGGATTTTGATCTGTCACGATTTGAATTTCTTTCTGAAGTTCTCCATCTGGACTCCATGTGCAAGGCTGAGGAGGTTGATGCTTCACCCGCTTCTCTCCGTCGAATTTCTTCACTCTATACCAGATCCCGAACATCGTCGAATTTTAATTTGCTGTTTCCCGACGAGCTGCTGACTGCTGTATCAGTAGCATTCCAACTGTCTGGTAGAGATGATAAGAGAATTACAGCTCGAACTTCATCATCGAATTCAATTTGCACGTAACTCAACTGGGTTGTGATTGTGTTTTGTTCATTTAGGTGTTGAGCCACCGATGCCCCTTCCACCATCCGCAAATTGAATAATCGCCTCATCAAATGAACTTTGTTTGAGGCTGATGGCTTCTCATACATACTGGAGAGAGCCGCCATAAGACCTGCCGTGGTCTTTTCCTTTGCTATGTTGAAAGCAACATTTCGGGACAACGTCAGTCGGATAACTCCGAGGGCTTGTCTGTCGAGAAGAGCCCATTCTTCATTCTTCATGTCCTCTGGTTGCTTTCCAGAGAGAGGTTAATATAGATTTTTCTGGTACAGAAAATCTTCAATCTGCATCTTCCAAAAGCCAAAGTCCGCACCATCGAACTTTTCAATTTTCACCTTCCCTTCGTCTGCAACCATCGCTCCCACTCGAATCTGGTTTCGTTTGGATCGTTCTGACAATTTTCGCGAACCGCCGTGTATTAGAACACCTCCGTCGACAAATTCGTATCGCCGACAAAATTTTACTATTCACAAAATTCACTATTCACATGAGTAGCAACCTCACAAAAAATTGACAAAATTCACAACCAAAAGCTCTGATTACCAGTTGTTGGGAAATAAACCCGAGTACAAGTAATTTTCCTATAATCAGATTAGTGAGAATGCAAAATAAAAGCGGAAAAATAATACCCGAAATTTATAACGGAGTTCAACCAATTTGCTTACGTCTCCGGACTGCTGTAGATCTTTTACTAAGAGAGAAAATTTACAGGTGTTTATAAAACACTCACTACTCACAAGAAAGCTCTCTAGTATTGGGAGAAAGAAATGATTTAGGATGATTTTGAAGCTAAATGAGCTAGAGTATTTATAGTTGAAGTTTAGAGACTAATATTTGAAAATACCCTAAAGTCTAATGACTAAAATGTAATTAATTCTATTTCTATTTTCAACAAAAACAACACCTAACAGTGAAATCTAAGCATCCCCATTTGAATGCTTTAGTCGTCCCATTTGCTTTTGTTTTTCCAGCCGTCCATGTTTTTATATTCAACCATGTATGTATATATATATATCTCTCCTGACATACTTTTAAAATTAACGATTAATTAGAAGGGATAAAACACCATTCAGTTACATCTACTTCTCTATTTTGCTAGGAAAATAATCTTTTTGTAGTCCGATGTTACATATCATCCTTCAAGGACATCCCAAATACATAAAATGAAATGAACATACTCGTATTGGGCACGTACTTGTATCCAACACTTACACCTATAATCCGAGCTCTAACAGACTATTTCCACTCCTTTACTCGAACAGCGACTTTTGGTTGATGCGAAACGTTGTCTTTTTGTGAGGATGATGGTAGGCACCTCCATAAGAATTCTTTTAATTCCACCATGCAACAGAACAGAAGTAACCTTAATGCATCAATCTCTGCTTCATATTGATCATAAACAAAATATGCAGTGAAGGCATAAACCAGAGCTGCAATATGGATCATTTCCGAAGTCAATACCGAGAATTAAACCAGAGAAATGTTGAGTTATTGGTACAAGCAAATTGTTAGGTTTTTGCTCACCGAAGCCGAAAGGCACGGCCAAGGAATAAGACTGCATATACTTCAAGAGATAAAGGGAAACCACAACCTGAACAAGTTAAATGCATAAGTGAGAAATTCAAAGAACAAGAAGAAAGAACTGTTAGTTTTTTTGCTCATACTCAGACCCTCACACCCGAGTAGCATAGCGTGTGAGGGTAATAAAAAAACCTCACCCTTTGTTTCAAAGTCCAACTAAAACAAAACCTTATATGTGATGTTCTAAGTTTGAACCCGGGGAAGCGCGCCCTTCAGATGGCAAAACCTTGAGAGATGGTAAACATCCGAAGAGGACGATACCAGATTGTAGGTATGACACGGTGCAATGTACGGCATGATCTAACCCGAACACGAAGGATTTCAACATGACATGTATAAACAACAAGTTCTATGTAGGGGATTTCATATTATACATGTTCTAGACTAGAAATCCGTTACGCTTTACTAACAAATAATAAAACACTATATAAGTGCAATAGATTGTTAAAAGAATTGCCATCAAAATGCAAACCTTGAAAAACTTGCTCCACTCCTTTCCCTTTGCCAACGTTTTTATTCTGCGTACTGCTTTATTCCATATATATGCTATGGATCTCAATGACTTTTGAACATCTGATACAGTGACTTGGAAACAAGAAGAAGGTATCTCTTGAACAGCATAACCACAACTGTTGCAAAGGCAATTATATCAGAGACAGATAAATATGTTTTCACATTAGTGTGTGCACCCTCGTACAAAAAGATTTTTAATAAAATATTATTTAAATTCAACAGGCTATGGAAGAAAAAATAAAACTTGCAGATTTTATCAGTTGATAAGGGGAATGTAAATACTTTAGAGAGAAAAATGTTTTGGTATGTCAAGAGTTCTATACCATGCACACAACTAAACCACATTCTTTAATTGCTTTTGGGGTGGAAAAGTCATGGTATCTAATATGTTGGTTTTATTGTATGGAAAGAAAGCCTCAATTAGTCATATTGACAGAAATGGTAAAAGTGAACAAAGGGAATCAAGATTAAGTACATCATAACATCTATTTGACTATAAAAAATCGAGAGAGAACACCAAAATCTGCAAAAAAAAAAAAAAAAAGAATAGCCAGAGCAATGTAGCCAAAACAGTGGAATGGAAAGGAATGTATGTCCGAACAAAACATAACATTAATCAAAGGAGTTTGGCATAAAACATGGACAGTGTAAAAGAAAAAGGATGAAATGGGAAAACCAAAATGGGAAGCTACTGTTTCAATTTCCAGATGGATTCAATCAATGTGCAAAAATGGGGCTCAAACAAACCACAACAAATGAAGATGCTTTTAAAAGGCACAATGAAATGCCATAAGAGGCATCTAATTTCCAATACTCACAGCTTTGATGATAAAATGCCATGTCCACAAAGAGTGATTACAACTAGAAGCAGAAGGTCGGCTAAAGATGAGGCAAAAGTTCTTCCACAGAGAAAGAACCAGCAAAATAACAAAACCAGAGTAAAAAAACATGCAAATGTTCTCCTTTCATCTCTCCACAATAAGATGTCTGCAACTGAAACAAAGTAAATTAAGGTCATTAAATGGCAAAAATTGTGTTATCATGCCTCAATTGTTTACAGTAGCATATCAGGATGCATGATGCGTTGAAGGAAAAGGTGGTGAGTCAAGAGAAATGTCTTAAAGTCTTCAATTAGTGATCAGTTGGTGCATCTAGTACTATGCCTGCATCTGATTGTACAATTTGCCATGAAGTTGACATAGGCTTCAGGCAAAGTCAACGTGCACTGTTTAGCCTATTGGTTATGATTAAAACCCAGAAACCTTCACCAGCATTTGAGGGAAGAAGGAGCTGAATCTGAATTATTTTTCCGATAGTGCAATCTTATTGCTTAGTATGCATCAGAAAGCACCTGGACTTTGAAAATTAGGTATAACGCTGATAGACAAAATACCAATCTGAAGGAAAAAAAATTAGTTCCAATATTAAAAAATCTACTAAAAACTGAACATATGCTCAATCATTGAAAGGACACCACTTCAAATTTTTTGGCCAAACATAAACTTCAGAGAAAATGCCTATGCAATGCCATTACAAGTCTGCATTAAAAAAAAATCAAATAATGGACTACCTATCCCGCCGCCTAGCATCTTCTCCACTTTGGATTGTTCATTAAATTTCGTATAAAATGTGTCATTGGCTAAATGAGAGAATGCTTGAATTGTTGACTTGATACCATCCTGAAGCAACAAAAAAGCAAAAAAAGATGACAAACTTTCAGATCCAAAAAAGCTAGCAGTCTACCTACTGGATCTTGAAAAACTATTTCCAGGTAATCAGTAAACGATAAGTAACAGTCTTTGAATCAAGCACTTATATGTGCTGAATTTAATCAGTTAGAGACTGAAACTAACATTAATTATATCTTAAGGTGGTCATGTGAGGAAAAACGCATATCAGAGAATGATAATGGTCTTCCGCTTATCAACTAGGGAAGAACAAGGATAAAGAGATAAGGACAAAAGATGTTATTTGATTCCGCTAGAAAGCCTACTCTGAAGGACCATATTTTTACTTTTGAATTTCGCATAGCAAAAAAGGATTCCAAATTCTACAAAATCCCATTCATTATATCAGTTCTGTTCAAGGAAATAAGCAGAATTAACCTTGCCATAAAAAACAATACATCTGGATATTTAAGGAACTTGAACAATAATGAACTAGCATCATAACCTATTTACATTACAGCTTGTCCGGAAACAAATAAATTGAAGCGAAAAAGTTTAATTGATTGTACAAGTCAAATTGATGATGTATAATCCTGTCAATTTTTCAGATGTGGAAACAAGGAGTAATGCTTCTACCCTATAAAGATCAACATTAGCAATAAGACATCAAGGGACAAAAAGCAAATACAGAAGAAGAAAAGAAATTGAATGCAATGTATACATGCTTTGGAAATTCAACATAAATTAGGAACAACTATATGCTAACAGAAGATCAAGAAAATACTCTATATAATATAGGAGTGCTAATAGAAAGGACATATGATGCGTTTATTATATGTTAGAAAGGACTGCATTTAAATAAAAAGAAAGATGGAAGGAACTTACCTTTAGGGAGATAACAGGTGAATATCCAAGATGGTTTTGAGCTGCAGAGCAGTCAAAGGTTCTGGTGCGTGAAGCTAATTGAAGCATGTAGTGAGATGATACGCTATGCTTGTACAATTTGTCAAGTGAACATTGGTGAAGTGAGACAATACATGAAACCATCCAAGTAGGAACCTTTATGTAAGGTCTGCAGTACGATTACAACTCTAGTTAGGAGAAAAACATTGAAAGTCTGGAACAATCGAACAAAGGGAAAGAAAGGAATTATACCAATGCAGTAGAAAGACAAACACAATTTTATTACAAAAAAACAATGAGAATTCAGAAAACAAAATCAAACTGCACAACAAAACATATAACAACAGGTTTTGTATAGCATAACAGTAAATACCATCTGCAACTCACTGCCAAACAAGCAAGAAGATTCATTATGTATAGATCCCTGCTGCTAATGGCATGGAAAAATTCAGCAGCATCTTGTGCTGATAAATGACATGTCACACTTCGCCCATTATTAAAATCAAGGGGCTTTACCTGGGATACCCTAAACCTCCAAGTATAAGAGATACAAATTCCCAGAACATTATGGGCTCGAGATTTGTGATGAGAAAAGCCTGCACATTGAGAACATCTCCCTTATATATAGATTCAATATAAATTAAAATATGAAAGAGATTTTCTGCATATCCAATAACACTTTTAAGGAAAACCTTTCCAGCGACAGAGACCACCCGAGAGTCTAGAGTTTCTGCTGCGCAGATATGAGCATGAGCAACATTCTCCGCATACGTAAAGTCAGACATATTTTCACCACTTCCTATAATAAACTGAAATAAGGAACCCAGTCAATGTAAAAAGAATTAAATAAAAATATTCCATGTTGCATCATAAAATAAAATAGACAATTAATTTTTGAAGAAAACAAATCAAGAGAAATAATAGAATTTTACAAGCAGACATCCACCAACACCGAAAGCATAAAAAGAATCTAAGATGCATAACTAAGGATCTCACCTGAGATGAATCCAAAAATGAGAGGTTAGGATAAAAATGGAGAAGTTCTTAAAAGGAAAATTGTTGTAATTATGTTTCAGCTACTATTGATAATATCAGGAAATTTCCAAAAAAATAAGATAGTAGTAAAACTACAGCTCTACACAGATTAAGTTATATTGAGACATTTCACAAACCTTTGACAAACCAGATTTGGCTAGATCCACTAGCAAAGGCACGAAGCGTGTATCACAAGGTCCAAAGACATTACTAGGCCGAAGTACACATGTTAGAAGACCATCAATATTGTTCGCTAACCTGATTAGACCTTCCGCATGAAACTTAAGGTCAATCAGTGTATCCAGAAACTGTATTAGTGCAATAAAATAAATCACAATTAGCAAACAACAAATGGAAACCCAGATTCCAAAGTGTTTCATTAGATTGCAACAATAGGAAACATACTTTCCCCGGGCAAATGAAAGACAAATCACCATGAAGTATATCCCGTGAACCATCAAAAACAACATCTGCAGAACTGTTGTATAAAAGTCGTCTAACTCTACATTCCCGACATGCATTAATGACATTTTTTGCACCTGAATATAGTACCTCCACAAGGGTATCCATTTTTAGAAATGTGATGTATTAATTACAAAACTAAAATATCAAATGAAAGAAAAAATCCACAAAGGGGTGGGGTGGGGGGGGAGATCAATTACCTTGAACTATGATCATGTAACAAGTATAAAAATCATGTATGTCTAATTCAGTCGGCTCCATGTAAAATACAACATCTGCACCTTTAGTTACTGCAAGTGGTGCATTGTCAACACAGTCAATTCTCAAACATTTTCAATGTTGCAAGGAAATTTCAAAATTGAAAATGAGACTAAAAATATTAGATTATGAATTCAATTTATTTCCTCATCACCTCAGTACCTTTCAGTTTCTTAACAAAGAGAACGTAGGTACTACTATATTTTAGCTAATATTCTTGCAATCAAACAAGACCAATTCCATGAGTCAATTTCCCCAGTAAGTTCGTAAAGGAAAATTTAAAAAGAAGAAGAAGAAAAGATTGATTAAGCTCTAGCATTTTTTCAAGTTTACAATTATCAGAATATGTATAGTTTCTTAGGAGCAAAATATGGGTACTAAAAACCTTAATTTCCCATTCTTTCCAGCTACACTAAATAAATCAGGTAAATATTAATCTCTGAGGAAAAGTCATCATTTTTAGCATTTTCCATTTTACTTCAAATTTCTAGTAAAAGGGATTCCCATTTCAATTAAGAAAGGACAGTGTAAAACTACTAAGTGCCCCCCCACCAAAAGAAATGGAACCAAAACGTGTTTGAAATGAAAAGCAAACAACATTTTTGCAAATACAGATATATATATATATATATATACACTATTTCTTTTGGTTGTAAAATGCATGGTTTAACCTCTATATACTAATTATGGTATAATTAGTATTACTTTTTGATCATTTTCATTTTAAATCAGCAATGAATATGCTTTTACTTGAAGGCTAGGATCAATGAAACCTCGGGGGGAGGGGGGAGTCTCGCAAAAATTTCAGTAAATTCAGACAATAATGCTCAGCTCAGACTGGATTTATTCTTAGCTAAAACGAGCTTAAAATCACCCTAATCTTAAAACACACATGCATATATTGAGCGTATATTTGCGTTTAAACATACATGTATATATGTGAATTATATCGTTTTACCTTTGATGATTTGAGACGTATCGCGAACGTCAACATGGCAAAAGGAGGCTTGACCGGAGCAAAGAGCATTGGAGAGGAGAGAGTCGGAAGCGGAGGAAGGATCGTTGAGCAGGGAGTGAGAAGAGGAATCGGCGACTCGAACGATCCAACCGCCGAGTCGCAGCAGCCTGGCAACGAGCGATCTCCCAAGGAATCCACGGCCTCCGAGAACGACACACGTCCTGTTCTCGCTGGCCACGTCATTGGACGTCGTCTTCACCAGCATCGTTGTAGAGATCGTCAATTATGGGCGTTGTAAACAAACGAGGTGTTTGGCGGGGAACCGTTACATTAATGTTTTATTATTGTTTGCGAGGGCGTTCTGTTTTGGAGAAAAAAGATATATTTATTGGTAGATAAGGGGAAGAAAAAAAATAAAATAGAGTTAACTACTCAAATAGTCATAATCTTTTAAGATATTATCAATTTAGTCACTAAAATAGTTATTGTTTGATGCCCTAAATGATTTCAAAGGCTTATGATATCATTTTGCACATTTCTAACATAAAATGTTACTTGATTTTAAATCATGCTTTTTAGCCAACAGACAAAATGAAATCATTTGACATACAAAATATTGTATTTATAATTTTCATGAAACATTTCAAAGTTACAACTATATTACCTTAGTGTAAAATATTCAAGGAATTTGCTCAACTTCCTTCAACCTTTATTTTATGTATATTTTAATTTAATCTTAAAAAGTAACCTTTAATATTTTGATATTATACTAATTTAGTCTCTGTTAACCTAATTTCATTCCCTCCCTATCTCACTTTGACATTAAAAAAACTTGTTTAAATTCATTTCATTATATTCTAAAACTATATATAAATGTGGTTGCAATGCAACGATATTTTTTTCAGGGTGAAGTACATAAATGATTATGGGACGTTATTTTGTTGAATCTCTTTACTATTAAAAATTACAAAATGACACTTCAACTATTCATATATTTCAAACTCGTTATTTCCCATTATAAAAATTAACGATTGTTTGAGCTAGATGTTAACCTGTTAATTGAGATGTGATAAAATATGATTCTAGAACCATTTGAGTTGTATTTTGTGAATCGACTCTTTGTTTACATTAAGAAAGCTAATGCTTAAAACATTATGATGTTTAGCCAACGCTTGAAAGCAACGATGATACCGGTAGACATCATTAAAATATAATTTTAGCGTGAACCGAGCGACTTCAATGGTTAAGGAATTGTTGTTATCCCTTGAAGTCACAGGTTTGAGCATCACATATGTAAGGGTGCGAGTGTTCGTTGTCAAATGGTTGAGTCTTTTAACAAATATTACCTTGTATTCACCCCATATTTTATAAAAAAAAATGATTTTATCATATCTCGTCAGCATGTTAATGCCCAACTTAGACGACTGTTAATTTTTTTAACAGAAAATGATGAGTTTGAAACATACGAATAGTCTGGAGACCATTTTGTAACTTTAATAATTGAATGACCATTTTATAACTTTTAATAGTCAAGAGACTCAACAAAATAACACCCTAGAATCAAGGGATCATTTTGTAACTTTTAAAAACTAGGAGACTCAACAAAGTAACACCCTATAGTCGGAAGATCATTTGTGTAATTTACCTAATTTTTAACTATGTTAACAATCGATTAATGAAAATTTTGAACTATCTTAATAGTTTGAACTAAGGCATGGTATTAATGAGAGTATCAAATTATGTAAAAAAAAAATCGGGGATTAAATTATCAACAAAAATAATTATATACAGAAACAACACTAGAATATGACATTTTTTAAATATGTTGTTTACTTCATACCTTAAAAATAATTACTTTAATATCATTCAAAACTAACACAAAAAGATTATATAAATAAAATATTATTTATTGGTCATAAAATGTAAATATGATATAAATAAATAAATAAATTACCAGTGCATTACTTGTGGAAAAATTATACAACTGGGATTGTATTAACACAACCTCAATGTTTTGGACAATTTAACACCTTTTCTTTTAGTTCTCACTGATGATTACTTTTTTTTAACATTTTTTTTAAATAATATGAGTAATTATAAGATAATATTAAATATTTTTTAATCTATGAATAACGCTTATATACATTTATAAACGTAATTGGTTAAACTCAAAAGTTTTAAGAAGATCAATAATTTTTTATCATTGAAATAACCTAATGAATTTTAATAATTGAAGGTTAATGATGAGTTAATTAATTGAGGAAGATAAGGTTTTTAATTTTTTTTAGAGTTAAAAAGATTTTATTTAAGACTAAATTGATGTTTTGATTATAATTTAGAGGTAAAATTAAATATTAACGTGTTACGTCATGGATATTGTAGAGGGCAAACTGATTTGGAAACGCTGCGTGTAAAGGAAGTATAATACAAATGATTGGGTGCGAGTGTTATATACCCTAAACAGCTTTTTATAGATAACAAGAAAAGCAGCCCCGGGGATCCAAAGGTAGTGTAATTACCGAATGGGCACTCTCCTGAAGTGCTACGAGCCTCTTTTCTCTCCGATTCTCTCCCTTCCCCAACTCACTCCGCTCGCTCCAACTCAGTACTCACTCTTTCAATCATCCAAAACGGAGAAATCCAATCCGACGTTGTTTCACCTCCTTGAGCACATCACCACAGCCGTTGATCAATGTCAAAGCTTTGGAGCCTGAGATTCCATCATCCGAGCTCTGGCTGCACAACACGATGAGTAAAAAGAAGGAATTTTTTAAGCCCAAAGTTGAAGGTCAAGTTGGGATGTACGTTTGGGGTGTTACCGCTTACGATCTCAGCCACATCGGGCATGCTTGTGTCTATGTTACTTTCGATGTTCTTTACAGGTCTTCCTTTACTCTCTTCCCAAATCCATTTAGTAAACTATTTTTTTTTTCAATTTGAATTTTATTTGTGATTGGATTATGTACTAATTGGAAATTTTGAATTTTGGTTTTGTGGGTTAAAATTGTGGAATCAGGCAGATACCTTAAGCATTTGGGCTATGAAGTTTGTTATGTTCGGAATTTCACTGATGTAGATGACAAGGTCAGTTTTTATATATATTCTTTGTATCTTTTAGCTACAAATTGTTGTTTTGCTTTTTCTTTTTAAGTTGATTTTTTTTTATTGTAGAATGTATAGTGTTAAAACATAAAAGGTATGCTCCCCCCATTTCAGTAGCAAAAACTGAAACTTGAAAACTTAAGTTTGAGTTTATTGCTTTGATCAAATGTTCCTTAAAATATTTTTGAAAGAACAAGGCTAATGATAGAACGCAAACTTATAAATTAAAGATAAAAAAATGAAGAATATAATGAAATGTTTATTCTAACAGAATTATTCTTCATAAAAGTAAAATTATTTTTTTTCTCAAAAAGAAAAAAAATGTTGTTGTTTGCTTTCTTACCCGGAAATATTTTTGGAAACCAAAATCAAGCTATAAAAGCAATAACAAAAGAGTTCCTTAATCTTTAGAGGGCATTTCATTTCTTCAGTCGATAGTTTTAAGAAACAAATGAGTTAAGTTTTTTATTGTTATTGCTTAATTCAAAATTTCATCTTTAAATTGTTACTGCTTGGGAAATTGTCTTTCAAATTGTTTTCTTTTCCTTCCTTTAAGATTTGGATGCCGACTATTCTCTTTTAATTGATATGAAAGGATAGCTGAGTTTGCACTTTTTCAAATTCTGTAGATAATTGCTAGAGCAAATGAATTGGGGGAGGATCCGATTAACTTGAGCAGACGGTACTGTGACGAATTCAATCAAGATATGGTGCATCTTCAATGTCTGCCCCCATCTGTTGAACCTCGTGTGTCAGATCACATTCCTCAGATCATTGATATGATCAAGCAGGTAGTTTCTGGACTATTGGTTGTATGTTTTCTTATTCATTGGCAATTAGCATTTCTTCTTTATTGGCAATTAGCATTTCTTCTTTGGCATGCTATATTGGTAATGCATGCAAAAGTTTCTATCTGTAACAATTTTTCGTTGCAATGCTGTTTATTGCCACTTTATTGCCTTATGATGGATGTTCTTGATACCTTCAAAAGAGCAGGGAATGATGCAAATTCTCAAAGTAATACACCCTGTATTAAAATTCTCGGTGTAAATATTTTGTAGCAGTATTGAATATAATTCATGATTTTGTTTATCGTTTCATGTCCTTTATGTTAGATTTTTGGTAATCTTTAATGCCTTGCTTGGAAGTTGGAACGAAAATTGGAAAGATGGAAAATAGTAGTATCATTCCTAATTGGAATGATTTGTTTTTATTCATGGGTATGGAAAATGATCACCTTTCCTACCGAACAGACCCAAAGTTTACTTTATTTCCACTTATGCACCCTTCTCTTGCTATAATTAGAATCTTTATTTGTGTCAGAAGTTCTAATATTGACCTATTTAACTAAGGCTTTGCAATGTCAAGATGAACATTTAGGCTTGTTTTAACTTATAATTACATTTGTCTGAATTGTTCTGTAGCTGATGTTTTCTTTCTTTTAATCTACAATGTGCTACCTCGAACAGATTGTTGATAATGGATATGCCTACAGAGTTGAAGGTGATGTTTTCTTTGCGGTGGAAAAATTTCCAGATTATGGCCAGTTATCTGGGCGGAAATTAGAAGATAATCGAGCCGGGGAGCGTGTTGCTGTTGACTCAAGGAAGCGAAATCCAGCTGATTTTTCATTATGGAAGGCAATCTTTATGAGAAATATTATGATACACCTATGTCATGCATGTATTATATACTGTATATACTACTATAAAAAGTGGAAAATATGTTGCGAGTATCACATAAAGTACCTGACTATCTGTAGATTAAAATTGTAGTTTTTCTTCATTATTTGTACCCTACAAGGCATGCATCAAATGTGAACTTTGCAAAATGTCTCAGCTTAAGTTGTTAAACAGTGGGCGGAGGAAGGAACCCAGGCTTTCCTAACTGATACCGTAAATTGGTGTGTTGGAAGATGTAAAGGAGGGTTTCATGCCACTGAGATAATAAGTAAATATTACATCAAACTGCATTATTTTTTGTTTTTGTTGCAAGTCTCAGTTTTGCAAAATGAATATATCCCTAAAATCATCCTTAAAGCTCATTATAATAACTTCTTTGAATGTAAATGTTTAACTATTATAATCAGTTTATGGTTCAATTTAACCTAGTATTATTGTTTATCTTGAATTTATGTCAACTTTGCCAGTTTTATATTTTAGATACAGGTGTATTGAATTTAAAAATAAGAATACTATATGTTATATGCCTATCACCAAGTAGGCTTTCTCAGCATAGTATTATTTTTCTTGATTATCATTTGAATATTTTTGCAGTCTGAAAAAGAAGGGGAGCCATTTTGGGAGAGTCCATGGGGACCTGGAAAACCTGGATGGCATATTGAGTGCAGTGCCATGAGTGCTTCTTATTTGGGTTACACTTTTGATATACATGGTGGAGGAATGGACCTTGTGTTTCCTCACCATGAAAATGAAATTGCACAAAGTTGTGCTGCATGTAAACAGAGTAATGTAGGCTACTGGATACACAATGGCTTTGTACTCTGAGAAAATGTCCAAATCCCTAGGAAACTTTTTCACGATTAGGCAGGTAGGTTTGCGATGATCTTCGAAACATAATTTTACTCTTGATTAAATAATAAGCTCGCTCGGATCTTTTTGTTGCTAATCATTTTTACTGTTTCTCAGGATATAGATCTTTATCATCCACTAGCTTTGAGCTTTTCTTAATGGGAACTCACTATCGATCTCCAATCAACTACTATGATGTACTACTTGAAAGTGTTTCAGAACGCCTTTTCTACATCTATCAGGTTACACGGTCTCTCTCACTTACTCTCTGTTTGTATATGTGTACTGAGTTGCATATGAAAAATTAAATTTTAGAAATTAATAACAATAAAGGGGAATGAGAAGATACAAGCTACTACAAAATGCAGAACCACAATCATGAGTTTCTACATCGAGACCTTATCGCTGACTTTTGAAATGATAAAAAGTAACTAATTAATGAGATTTCCAACAGAATAGACTAACGGATCTAAACTTGGGTATGACCAGGAGTTTCCATGATTTGTACCTCATGACCTGCGAACATTTACGTTTCCCCATCATTTAGAACAATATCAATTCCAGGAATCCTATCCTTGTCTATTCCAGAACCAATCACCTACATGAAAAAGCACAATTATTGTTATTATTTTGGTCATTATGAGCAAGATCGAAAGGCCTATTAGACTACAAATAGTTACGCCATATATGAGCTGATAATTTGAGAGGAAATTATCTGATATGAGCTGAAAGGTGACAGAAGTTTTTTTTTCTGAACATCAGAAAAGTTGGAACTTAAGAGATAAAGTTTTCCATACCTTTGCACCATACCTTGCTTTTAACTCCGTATTCCCACCAGTGTGGTCATGATGGTGGTGGGTATTCAATATATAGGTCAAATTCCAGTTTTTCGGACTCAAAGCATCAATAATTGGCGCAGCTTCTGAAGGATCAACGACTCCAACTGTGCCTGTGTCTACATCATGCAAAAGATATGCATAATTGTCTCCTAGACATGGTACCTGAAAAAAGAAGGAAAAAAAGCTAGAAAAAGTTCATAACTACTGCTCATGAAAACCAGTAATTATAACCTTCAACAAGAAGTCATCAAAGGACTCTTTTTTCATGTAAAAAATGATAATAACCAGTCAAGCAAAAGAAAAAGTTAAAAAAATGCAATTAAAGATAGAGAGAGGTTTGCTCACCAATTCAATTTGTAATGAGGAAGACATATTGGAAACACTGCAAAACTCTGCAACCCTAAGAGAGCGACTCGCTCCACGCAAGGTTTTGAAGGGAATTGATAGTAAGTGCATAAGGTCATACACAAGACCCTTTCTAATGCAAAGTTGCCTCTTGCCTGGCCAGAGGCAAAGCCCACTCCTCACCTAAAACATTGGAAACCAGGCTTGGAAATGTAAATACCATAAACCAACATATAATCAAGAAAACGGTTCCTGCAATAACGATCAACGGATTTTAGAGAAGCTCTGTGAAAAATAATAATGAAATTCCATATCGAAGGGTTTGTAGTTACAGTCGAGATTGTAAACCACCAAAATCTAACATTTTTATGGGAAAAAACCAATACTCTGCATGAAACGATTTCACAGGGGGATATCAATAATTTCACATACAAAACAAACAAAATTATCAAAACTCAAGCTTAGATCTAAACCAAGGCTTTCTTTTAACGACTTGAAGCCATGTTAGTCCCACTTTTCATTCTTTTTCTCCTGAAACACCTATGTTCAACAGATAATTGGACATGTATACAAAGGTACAATCCTCCAAATACATGAAAAAAAACTTGCAACAAAATACACTATATCACCCCATTCGCATGTACCATCACAAAAAGAGATTCATATCATCATATGGTGACAAAAAGGGAGAAACTGGTTATCTTTCTTACCACAAGTTTTGATTGTCCTTATTAAGGTAAATAAAACTACAGAAAAACACTTGACTGAATTTTGGATGATTGCAATAAAAGTAGGAAAATACGAGTAAGAATGTCACAAAAACCAAACCAAATATTACTAAAAGAAAAAAAAAACAGACTAGCAAATAAGCAAAAATAGGCTAACACTAAGCATGAGAAAAAAGAATAAAACAATTCAAAAACACCCATTTCCTTAATTAGCTACAACAGGGGGTAAAAATCAGATATTTACCATTATACTTTCATTTCTCTTCCAAAAATTAGATAGAAATTCAGCAGAAGAAAAAACTAAAAATGCAAAATGAAAGCAATGAAACAAACCCCGGAACAAGGGAAGGAGGCCATGGCAGATGAAGGTTTAGAGCATTTGGTTACAACTTCATCTTTCTCTCTCTCTCTAAAATGGGTTTACTTTCTCTTAAGAGGCCTGTCTCTCTGTAGAGAGATCAGAAAGCGTCTCTGGCACTCAATTATGTGTGTGTTTATGTGGGGGAGGGGCGGAGGAGAGATTCAGTTCAAATACAACAAAAGCTTGTTTAGTAAAAAAATAAAGATAATTAAATAAATATTTTCGTATCAATAGATTCCAAAAATATATATATATAAACAATAAATTTATTAAATATTTTATTTTTTTTATAGTATAAAAACTACAAACATATTTTTAAAAAAATAACTATTCTGTTTCGACCCGTCATTATACTTAGGAGACACGTATAATTTATTTCAAGTTAATTTTGACGTTTAAGCTCCAATGATAAGCACCAATCCACTGACTCGATAATAAAAAAATTATTATTATTTTTTGACATATTTTATTTAATTATTAAGAATATTAAAATTATGATCGTTTAATATTAAATAATTAAAAATTATATTTAAATATATATTATTTTTATTTATTTCATATTGAGAAAACGTTTTCATTATAAGGTTACCGTCGGTGAGAATTTAAAGGAACTAGAGCTCATGGATGATTCACACGTGCAAGTGTAGTTGGGCAGTATTGGCGCATGATTGCTATCACCTTTTGCGGGACATTGTTAGCTTCACCCACCTTTATAGTTGTCTTTATAACCATATGTGGTAAGGGGAGATAAGATAGTAGGTTGTTTCCAACACCAAATTGAGAACAGCTTTCGTAGGAGACCTCCGAATTATGAAATGCCCTCCGTGGGACTCGATCCCACGACCTCAAGGTTAAGAACCTTGTGTTCTACCAACTGAGCTGGATGGTCATTTCAATTAATTGATATAGTGAGATATGTCATTAAATTTTATTTATAAATATAATAAATTGAATTGGGACGATCATCCAGATGATAAACGCTGCAAAGTTATATCTAAAATAATTGAATAATAAATCATATATTAATGATTTAATAAAAAACTCTTATAGTTGTATAAAAATTGAAAAATAATGTTAGAAAATACTCTTAATATTTGATTAAATAGTTATTTTAATTATTATTTTTTAGAACATTTTGATCTCAATAATTCATTTTAGGATAAAAGTCTTATATTTTAAAACGTTAATAGTTTGTTGATTAACAATTTCTATCACGAAAGAAATCAAAGTTAAAATACTTCAAAAATAAAAACAAAGATCAAAATATAAAACATTAGTCCCAACTTTTCAAAGGGGTTAAAAAATGAAGTTCCAAAATCATTTGTCAAAGGAACCAAGTTTTTCTCTGATTCTGAATGTATCTTAAAAGGTGTTTTCCTTTGTATAATTGAAGGCAACAAATACAAATGCAACTTGCAAAGCTTTGCCTTTGATATGGTTACTGTGTTTATACCTCAAAAGTCAAGACCCATGTTGGATTGGATTTAATATTCACAAGTGTTGATTTAGTATAAGCTGGCCTCACTGCTGTTCATTGACACTCTCTACTTGCCCATGTCACTTTTACAATTTCATTTCGGCAGTTCGGATGGGTGGTGGTGGCTGGGATCCGCCGCTACCTAGAGCAGCAGCAGCAGATTCAACATGTGTTAGAAGAAATTCGTATATTTTCTTCCTTAGCCGATCAATTGCTTCGGATGAAACATGGGGCGTCGTCTCTCCTCCTTCTCCTTCGTCTTTGCTCGAACTGATTTCATCTAACCAGTCATTGACACTCTTCATCTGTGTCAACATCCCAGCTATTTGATCACTGTCGGATAAAGCGGATGTGTCGACATCGGCATCCAAGAATTTCTCCACAAATCCTAAGAACCAGTCCTGGGATTCCATTCGCAGCGTTTCAGCCAAGTCAACGGCCTCGTCAAAGCCATTTCCCCTTGTCCATTCTGGTGGTGGTTCGACCGGTACTTTCGGACCAAGGCCTGAAACATCCACTGCTTTTCTAAGAATACCTTGTGCTACAAGCTTAGAACCGATTACGGGACTGGTTTTTGCTTGGGCTTTTGCAGAAGCATTCTTCGCAGAATTTTCTAGAATTAAAATGTTTTGGTTGGCAGGGGTAGCCTTCTGGCTTTGAGCAGAAGCTTGTTAGATGAAACAAATAGTTGTTAGACTGTTAAAGCTAAAGTGGTTATCTTGTTGTTGGGCAGTTAACAGCCTTTGTATTTGCTGTTTATAAATCTCTGCATACATTACTGAGAAAAATAGTTCTTTGTTGAATAAAATAGTTCTTCATTCCTCAAGTTTCTATTCCTGTGTTCTAATATTTCATCAAAGCTGAAGCATGACCGGAAATTTAATTATGATCTTTGGTATATACCGAGAAGGTTGATAGATTGGTAGCCAATGCAGCTTGCACCCATGAAGCTGCATATTTCCGTCTATCCGATGTGACCTTCACTGCCTCTTCTGATGGGTTTCCTTCAGATTCCGGAGACGAACCAATTAGTATAGTTTTCGATAAAGAATCTGCAATCATCCGAGCATGATTCAAGCTTGCATGCAGGGTTAAGAACTGATCCACCGCAGGCTGAGGATTATCTTCCTTGGCAGAAGCAGTAAGATCAGAATATAAGCTGCAAGAAAAAGATGGTATACCAAAAATGTCATGCAAGAAAGCATAGAACAATTTAGTTAGAAATGATCTACCCACAATTGCAAAACATATTGTCAAATACGACCAAAATACCCAGAATCAGTCCACACTATGTTACGTAGCCTAAAGTTGTGGTATCAATTTCAAGTCCTAATTAGAATAGGAATTCATATGGTATCAATTTAGGGTCTATGATTTTCGATTTTAAAAAAGCTGTTCTTTCTATAGAATGGTTCCCATTTCAGCCGATTTCATTCAATTCAATGATTGACCAAAAGAAAATTTTATTTTAATAAATAAATAATAAATTGCATGAACTTAGCTCAATCAAATACTGATATTGATTTTTTATTTTTATGCAATGATTTGGTCTAATAAATTCGTCCATTTAGATTGTATCCATGTGACATAATGATAAATAAAAGGAAGAGACAAATTTACAAAAAACAATATTAAAAAAATGATTAGGAAAAAAAAGGGGGGGGGGTCTATGGGTGTCTCAACATGCACCATCCTAAATGTGTTTCTCCAGGTCTCAATCACATAGTATCCACTAAGACCTACTACAAAGAACATCGTATGTTCGGGAAAACAAAGTCTAGTGAAGAACTAAAACGAAAAACCAAGCATAATAGCTCTTACTGAACAACAAAACCTCACTTGTTTAGTTAGAGCACACACAACAGTGACATATGGAACTTGTTTTCTGGGTATGGAAGAGAAAGCTGGTCATGCCATTACCGAGGAATTTACATAACCCCATTGTGGTTCTATCTCTCTGCGCTTTGACATGAAGGCCAAAGCGGTTGGGAATTTGTGACCACTTTTGCTTGTGGAGTTTAACAATACCAAATGTATAAATTTCCTAGAGACTGTCGAGGTAAAATTTCATAATTTAGTTCTCAATTGTCCCTTTGAGATGAGATGCTTGCCTATTACAGACTTCAACTGTGCCAATGAAGGAATAAATACTTCGTTTTTCTTCACACTTATAAAAGCAAGAAATTTTGCTGCTATGACCGGAGAAGACCCTCTATTCTCAACTGGTTCCAACCCCATAAAGCCAAGATAAGAGTTGCAAATGTAAGATTGCTAAGCAATCAAACTAGAAAATTAAGACTGCCAGACTGGGATGCACTAGTTTATGTTAGCAGCTGAGCTTAAAGGAGAAACTGAATAATTAGATACTGAATTACTCTTATCTGGTACTTAGATCAAAGACAACCGGAAACAAAAGAGAAATAATTGTTCATGGAAAGTGTATAACGTAAAATTTTCCCGTGAACTCCATAAATTTTTTCATGAAGTAATACTAACATGATGGACTGAATTGTAGTTGGCACATTCTACAGGTTAAAGTTACAAACGTAAGTTAACACACACAGATCGTTCACAATCATTAAAAAGTTTAACCATGAAAATACGGCGAATCAAAATCCAGGCATTGAATGTATTTAATCCTTAGTTTGAAACTAAGAAAACTTGGGTTTTACTGCCAATTTCTATAATTTTCTTTGTTAACATGTCCCTTATCGTTAAATAGCCATACCTTAAACATCGTAGTAAGCTCTCTGAAGCAGCAGCCTCTTGCAAAGCTTCTATTGCCGCAGTTTGCGCTGCATCCCTATGTGTCAAGACCTCCTGTAACCAAAAACATAAATTTGGCATGAGAATCACAAAAGAAACTGTGTTGCAAAATGCTAGGAAGTGACATATATAAGTTAGTTTTAGTTAAATTTGAACTTCGTATTTTTTCTTCACTAGGAATTTGCTAATAGGAGATACAACCTTTTTACGAAAGATAGCCCTTAAAGAGACTTTCCCATAAAAACTATGAATGTTATCACGATGTAAAGAGTCATAGGTTCATACCCTTCCGAGCTTTGAAAGAGAAGAGGGGAGTGAACCCCATGAAACACTTGCATCTGTATATTTTTTACTATTTATCGGAACCTTAATCATGTTCCCCAGGCCACCATTATTATTAGTTAGGTCTCTGGATTTCTTCCCAATGTAAGTTCTTGGCTTGTTCGGTTTCTTGTGCTCATCCAACATTTTCTTAGTTGAAACCGGAGATTTACTCTCCTCTTTTAGTGACCTGGCAGATGTTTGGAGCTTAGCCTCCTCTTTGGAAAGCAACTTTTTGCTTGATGTGCTCATTCTAGGAACCTGGCCTCCGGGTTTTAATCATTACATAAGAGTAAAACAGCTTGAAATAATGTATTATTTTTTTTAAAAAAAGGCAAAATTACCAACAAATCAAATGGAATCATGTAATACATGTAATGTATTTCGTATTCTAAACCTATACTGGAGTTCAAGCATCATCTTAGGTTATGGCCTTGAGGAAATATTGCTACAAAATTTGAACAACTCGTATGAAACAGTAGAAATGGATGTAAGAGAAAAAATCAATCACATTCTGTAATCTCATATT